TAACTTTCTTTTTTTAATTGAGATAGGTTATGTCCTATGAAGCAAAAAGCTTAAGGGAACAGTGTAACCACTGCTCAGATAAAGTCTGGAACATTCCTAGCAGCCCAGGAGTCTTCCTGCCTCCCTTCACCTAGCTCCCACTAAGGGTAACCATTATTCTGGGCTCTAGCACCTTAATTAACTCTTCCTCTTTTTAATTCATATCAGTATGTTCTGAGTCTGACGTCTTTCAACTCTGTGAGATTCAACCACACTGAGGCATGTATCAAAGTTCTTTTTCATGCTGTGCAATAGTCTACTATATGAACATTCTATGATGTTTTTACTCATTCTACCGTTGACAGACAGTTGGGTTGTTTCCAGTTTGGGGCTATTATAAAATGGTTGCATAAAATGGCTCTGAACATTGTTATATATGCTATATTAATGAGCAAACCTAAACACTGATTTCTGGTGGATAGATCTCAAGAATAGAACTATGGATCACAGCGCAGACACATGCTTAGCTTTAACAGGTACTGCCAAAGAGTTTTCCGAAGTGACCACACCAAGTCACGTTCCCACCAGCACCATACGAGAGTTCCAGTTGCTCCACATCCTCAGCCAACACTTGCTACTATCAGTCTGGTGGATGTGTAGCAGGATCTCACTGTTTTAATGCGTCTCTCCTTGAAGACTCATGATGGTTAGCACCTTTGCAGTTTTAAAGGAGAAGATCAGAAAACATCACATGCCCACTCCTCTCCGCAGGTGATCTGATTCCTACTCCTTAATAGAGAAGGCGAAGTCTGCAGGGCTGGAGCTCCCCCACACCTGGCTGTACCAGGAGCCCCCATCATGTGTCCCTCCTCTGCTCTTTCAGAACAGGTGAGCTCTTCCATCAAGGGCTGTCCACCCACATTCCCTCTTCTGCAAATCACCATCTGCTGGCTCCTTTCCCTCTGCTGAGAAACCTGCTCAAGTCCTTCCTGTCCTAGCGACCACACAATCACCACTCCCCTCCCTTGAGGCCAACACATGCCAGGGGCTGGGTCCTCTCTCCTTTCTCTGCCTGCTAATCCCTGTGCTCACTGTCTACTCCTTCCCTCTCATGAGATGCTCTCCACACCACAGAATGGGCTCACCAAGGCCACTCCAGGGACTCAGCCCTGGCACAGGCCGTAGGGCATCCTCACTGCTAAAGCCAACTGCCAAAGCCTCATTTTGCTTGACCACTCAGGTCGCTGGCTGCTTCTTTCTTCTTAGAACCATCTTGCCTGCAACTCCCGTGATCCATGTTCCCTGGATTTCTTTCAGATGCTGTGTCTTCAACTCTGAAGACTCCTCTACGTTCTCAGGTTGGGGGTTCACCTGTCCTTTTCTAATTCTACAGATTTTCCCTATGCAAATTCCACTCCCATGTCCTCCACTACCGCCCACATGCTGATGCAGTTGACCCTCTATTACGATGTATAATATATGTATCACTATCCCTTCTTGAGCACTCAACTGAACCCAGGACATCGCTTAGATACACCAGAGGCATCTTACACTCAGCATCTTCTATGTCTGAACTCAGAACCTTTGCCCCAGATCTGACTCTTCTTCCCTATTTCCAGTTTTCATGAACGGTACCACCAGCTGTCCAAGACAGCAACTGGAGAGCCATCCTCAACTCTTCCCTCGCCTTTAACTGCCGTGTCTCTGTCCTGTCCACTATGAATCAACATCTAAGCTGACTGACTCAACAAATGCAGCTTCCTGGTCAGCTGAGGAAGGGGAGAATATATTGTTAGAAAATGAAAAGCAAACTAAGACATATTGTGAGACTACATTCCTCACCCTGCCTAAGCCAGGCTCCTTCTCATAAGGGCAAATTGGTTTTCTTTAGTGTGTCAACTCCAAACAATTGAGTAGATATTTGTAGTCCGCTATTGAGAAGCACTGTAGAGCCATGTCTGAGCTAGGGAGAAGGGGTGCAATGCTCCATTAGTTATGTCTGCCACAGGCACAGGAAGGGTGGGGAGTGTAAGGCTAACTGTGGGCTCCAGGCTGCCAAGAACATCCTTGCTTTCTTATGTACCTGACGAAAACCGGTTAACTTTTCAAGATTGATCCTTACTATCCTCTTCCTTCAGTCTATCTTCCCCAAATTTCCCAGTTCTCATCAGTCTATTGACTTCCCAGCCTCTCACAATGCTTTCTACGTACATTTCATATTTTTGCTCTTTATCATCATGCACTTTTAGGGATTCCTCGGGCAGGCAAATCTCACCCTGAGAATGTACTCTGAAATTCCTTGTGTACAGAGGCCACATGTGCACTGTTGCTGAAGGCCCAGCATGGCGCCGGGCTTTTCAGTGGGGTTCACTAAATTCTCATAGTGTTACATGCATGACAACCTCCCTCTGGCCTCTCAGGAGGACCGAAGGACAGACTCACCGAGCAGCTGGTTGGCAGAAGAGGTGGTGAGGTTAAACTGCTGCTCCAGGTACTTCCCCAAGAAGGCAGCGAAGCCAGCCACCACCGCAATCTCCATGCAGGCGGCCAGAATGATGCAGGTGAACACAGGGTTGGAGAGCAGGTGCTTGGTGACCTTCGGGATCACTGCGGGCAGAGAGAAAGCAGAAGGTCC